TATGTGACCTGAAATTTTACATCAGCTTAAGTGGCAGGAGGATCACGTAATGAGTCTACCACCATAGAAAACGTGAAAATAGCAGAAATTTGCAATTTTTGTTGAATTATGTTTAAGTTACTGCTTTCTTCCTATTGACTACTCAAGGCTATTCCATTTTTCTAACTAGTGTAAAATGTAATTTGGAACTGACACTAGGAAATATCAACCCAAATATGATGTTCTAGACCAAGTATATTGCTTTGAGAGGCTAATTTTGCTTAAATAAGTCTCTTTTAGCACTTGTTTTATCTACATCTGTGTTTAATGGTATAATGTTGATTTCCACATGTGTTGGTATACATTCAGTGCCTTTAGTTTTTTAAATTATTTTTGCTGAAAGCCATAACAACACAATGTTATGATTCCCTTCTCAATTAATTATCTTTGCAAGTTCATGTTCTGTAGGATTCTTTGCATCTTTTCCTGGTCTTTAGCAATATCTGTTTTTCCCATTTAATATTAATGTGTTATTTATTCCTTTCATAGAAATTATTAACATACATGTATATATCTCAAAAGTAAGCTGAAGAGACAGCATAATTACTAGAATCAATGCCCTATCCTTCCTCACATAAGTGTAGCACACCATTTAGCATTTCTTTTACTTCACAGCTATAAACTTATTTCAGAGCTATGGCAAGATAAAGCCAATTGTAGGTAAATAATTTTCTGCAAAATTTGAGAATCTCCATGCTTTGCTCTTCTATGCCTATATTTACCATCTCCACGCATGTGATGCTGAACCTCCTGATGCTGTCCTGAACAGTAAAAATGACCAGTGATTTCTCCAAAAGGAAATGCTATTACAACATACAGTTTTAGAAGTATAAATCAGATACATTGGACAGACTGACACAATATCAAAACTGTAAGTGCCCCATCACTGCCATTTGTACTGAGTAATAAACAAAGAAATCAACACTGTGCTTCTATAAAGTCTTTTCTTTGAATTCTTGAATTTGAAAGCTGTCAGGGAAGTTTTGTCCAACAATGGTCTACCTGAATAATGAAAACAGCAAGAGGAATACTTTCAACCACAGAGGATTTAGCCACAGCCATATTCTATATACTTCTAGGAAGAGGCTGGAGTATTGGAATAAATCTTTCTGCACCATATGTGGTTTTTCAGTGTCTATCAACTTCCAGGAAAAATGCCTTGATGAAAGATGATCTATGCAAGCAAAGAGGAAGATCTGTTTGCTTGATGATGCTTTCAGTGGAAATCACCACTACTAATACTGGAAGATCTGCTAAGATCCAGACTGCTCACTACATCAAAGGTATAATCTCAGAATAAATCTGTGTGGATTAGAGTCCCAGGTTAAACCTGTGCACATGTTAACTTTGCATGTTGAGTACAAATGCTTGAATGCTGAAGGGAGCTGGTGACTCTGCCTGTGAAACACAGAACAGCAGTCCAAACAGATGGCAACGATGTGTGAAAACTGAGACAGGATTTCTAAGGCTAGATGCATGTTAGTCAATCAAATGGTTCTGGGACAAACTGAATTTATATTCTTACTTTATGACTATGTTGTGTGTCACAGTACTGGTGTCTCTATTCCCCATACTAATTTGGCTTTCTGCATAGGAAACAAAAGAAGGCCTATTTCTGTAGTTGACAAGGTATCACCTAAGCCACAGCATCCACCAGGCCTGGTGGGAAAAACTGGAACTTCCCTCCAATAAGTCAGAAACTTGTCCTACAACTACCAACAAGAGAGGAAAGGTGGCAGGGACACGGACATGGACCATAGCCTCCACCAGCCGTGTTACTGCTCTCAGCTCCCAGCAAGCCATCCACTCACTACAGAGCAGCTGGCCCTTGCGGCTCCCTTACACCTGGTCTCAAACCATCCAGCTTGCAATTTAGGCAAAGCCCTGTTTTGAGGGACAGTGAGTTTATTAGCATATGGTTATGGAGCCCCAGCCAGTTTTGATGGCAGAGAACACATTTTGGCACATTCAATTCTTCTAGAATGGATGTGGCCTTAGAATAGCATCCTCAAAGTCTCCTGATAGCACATTTCATAGGACACCTGGTCAAAATATCACAGAAGTGCTGCAGAGCAACAATTCCCACTGCTAATGGGCATATGGGCTATATAGGTCCACATAAATCCTGAGCCCTGTACGTGAAATACCTTAAGGGCCTGAGATAAGGAATGTAAAACCATGACCACATACAGCACTGGGAAATGCATAGAGCACAATAGCTACAGCACTGCGCTGAACCCAAGGGAGCGGACGTGAGCATGTGAGGATTTTTTTGGTTTTCATTCCTGTCTTTGGTGATTATATGGCAACATTCCAGTCTAGAAGCTCCAGCACTACCACCAGCAGTACTGACAGTTCATGTCTCAACAGTACAACAAAATCAGCAGCACCGATACAACGCCAATTTCAACAGCTAATTCTCCATAGGTCCCATCAATATCTTCCTCTCTATTTGCCAACACGGCACAATCCCATCATCAGGGAAAGGAGAGCAACAAGTGAGTTTCCAGAGCAGATCAGCAGAAGACTTCATGAACAGCAGACTGGCATGTGCAACTGGCAATCCATAACCTTACAAGCTGTTGTACAAGCATGGTACTCAGAAATGAGAAGGAAAAGCATGCAGGGCAGAGTGTAGTAAATTAAAGCTCTGATGGTAAAAATGCACAGAAAAGGGGATTGCTTTTCATATGGATAGTATTTGGACATGCCATCTGGGAAAAAGGCAGTAGGGTTTGTGGGGTATAGAGATCTATGATTCTATGATTCTGTGTTAAGAGTGGACTGCCTATGGTGAACCAGCTAATCAGGACTGGAGTGTGTTTTGCATAAATAGGAATAAGAGAAAAAATCAATATCAATGCAAGCTAAAGTACAATAAGAATTTAACATTCTTTAAAATACGTGTGAAGAATACAGGAAAAGAATCATTTACTACTCTTGCATAAATTTAAATGAAACTTTCATTTTTTGAATATCAAAGGGGTGCGAAATATGATATTTTTAGAAATGTTCTTCAGGTAAACATGGCAACAGCAACTGTTTTGTCATCTCAAGCAACTTGGATGATACGCTAGAACTTCAATTTTATCAGTAAAGAACAGCAGTCTCACTGTAACAAACACACTTCTCAGATAATTCTAATAACTTATTTTGTGACTGTTTAGGGGCATGAACCTAACAGCATAATCATCAGTATTTTAAGAAATAGTATCATGAACTATCACCGGAGTGTCACTAAAAAGTCATGACAGTCATCCTGTTCTGCAGTGAAGGTGGTGTTGCACAGCCTAGGAATTTGCGTGACTGTAGCCTACTTGTCACAAAAATTGGAAGTCTGTCTGTCCACTGCATCCCATGGGAAGACATGCTGGGTGAGGGGTATGGAGGGACTTCTTCAGGAGGAGAGCTGCTCTGAAGGAAACTCAGAGCATGGGGCAAACAGACCACTCAGTCAAGGTGTGGTGTGGTACACTTGAACCATGGGCACCTTCACAGGTGGGCTTTAGGAAAAACGGGCTAGAAGATGAGGGACTGCACTTATTTGGCTACTGACGAAAGTAAGTTTGTCAGTCTGTAATCCCTCAGGCAGAGCTGAGGTAGGATCCTGTTTAATAGCTGTAGCTGTAGCTGTATCTTGTTGTGTGCAACAGGAGATCCTCTTCTGCAGTGATATTGCAAAGAAAATATTTCACCCTCTGCCTTCCTGACCCTGTTACTGCTGCCACCTTCCTTTTTGCCCATTTATCAATCACCCAATGCACTAAACAATGATACTGGGGAGGAAAACAGGAACAGTCACTACTTATGAAGAAATTGTTAGAAGCAACCCATGTTTATTTTCATCTCATCAGGATAACAGGTTTACTCCTTCACAGCTAGTTACACAGCAATGTAATGCTGGGAGCCATGCTCCAGTTTTCTCCAGGTACAAACATAAACATGGAAGAATTTAGGTTAGAAGGGACCTCTGGATATCATCTGATCTAACCACTTGCAAAAGCAGGCCAACTTCAAACATCAGGCTAGCTTTCAGCCTTGGTGTGTGTCAACAACATTCACAAGAGAAAGAAATTAATGCACAGTTTACATGAGCTCACAGATTACAATCCCATCTTTCC